ATAGTCATGCTGATTATAAACCTCTCCTGGGTGTTTTACTGTTACTTCCTGGTGAGAAGTGGTGAGATGTCTTTTTAAAGGATGAAAATGGAGAATTGCTGCCTACAGCCTTTACAGAACAGTGTACCATAGTTTCAGCCTAATCTTGGTGGGAATAGCCGTAAATTTACATAGACATAATCTTTTCAGTATGGCAGTTAATTACCTGCACATAATAAGATACTGTCAAACCAGTTATGGGATTCGGTCTGTATATCCTGTCCTATAGGTGGACATTTTTTGAAATTATTTTTGCGTGGGGATAGTTTTGGTGCCCACATATTCAATATTAATAATTTGATCTGACCATCATAGCTTTAGTCATCCCTTATTTTATAAATAGCTTTCTGTTAAAATTAAAAAAATATAAAATTATTTTGGGAAATTTTTATGCAGGTTTCCCAATTACTTTAGTTTAAATGTCCATGCACTAGACTATACTTTCCAAAAGCTTATAATTTTAACAGGAACTGTAACAGGTGCATATAATTTTAACAGGAACTGTACTGAGTTGTTTTGATTTCTGTCCATAAAAAAATAGGATAGTCAGTAATGGAAAATTTCAGTTGTCCAGCTTTATACAGCTAATTACAAACACCAGCAAAGTGTGGCCTAGATTAGTTTATAGAGGGACTTGTCTGGGTTTTCCACACTACCTCCCTATATTCCCTCTCCCCAGTATGCTGGGAGGCATAAAGGCAGGTAGCTAAAACCCTTCTGTCTCTTGTTCAAACCCCGTTCTGCTGAGGTAAAGAAAATCTTCAAGCTAAACACAGCCCACAGAATGTTACTGTTGGCAATGGAGTACAGTATTCTGCAAGTTCATGTGGTTAAGGATGAGAAGAATGACATATCTGCTCCATCTAAAGGGTTTTGACTTTTGTGTTTCAGTTGTCTGGAAGTTCTGTATCACTTTCTTCTCTTATAGATATTAATACTTACAGAACAAAGCAAAATAAAATAGTGTAATTTATTATATGACTAATGAAAAAATAAATAATTCTGTTGCTATTGCAATTAATTTACTCGTTTTGCTGTGGCTTTTCTGAATTGCCGTATTGTTTTAGTGTTTTCCTTGACAGCTTTCAATACTGAAAATGGTAGAAATTCTAGTCTAGTTTCTCTTCTTAGGTTTTTCAATACAAATCTCAAAAGATGATACATTGAAATGGTTTATCTGTTGTGAAATGGCATAATAGCACAACAGAGCATTTGATTAGCCTTGGGCATGGTTCCTGATGGGAAAACAGGTGTCACAGTCTGGAAGACTGGATTGTGTAATATCAGAGGTGTGCCTGTGAAAATAACATTGGCGCTAAGTAGGCTGATTTGAAAATGGGAGGTTATCAAAACTTCATACACTGAAATATTCTAATCTAGTATAAAATTTTCACATGTAAAATGGTTTTCCACACTTGATGTAGAAGTAAAATTAAAACTGAGATCAGTTTTTAAAATGTGAAATAAACCAGATCAGTCTTTTAAATGTGAAATGAGCAGCTCTTTCCAAACCTTGACACTGGTCCTAAAGTTCAGAACACCCCCAGATGCTAAGCAGTATGCATGCAGCTGCATAACCCTGTTGTTTCTCTCAAAAGTGAGTACAAAGGCCTTCACCCTGAGAATTTTTAAATGTGTCTCAGAAAACCATTGCACAGAATTGACCATGACTTTTTATTCTGCTTTATTTTGTTGATTTTTCATTCTGGAGAACCTCAATTACCAGAATTTTTCATGGAAGCAAATAAATTTTTAGGAGGCCTTTTCTCTGTTTCAAGATAACACAGTGAAGTGGAATAAGACACCAACAAGTCGAGGATTAGGGCACAGATTTGTAAAAGGAATGAGCTATTTGCAAAGATTTGTCTCTCTTGGGTACAGAACAGGAACTCTAAACCAGTCTTTCTCTGTTACAAACATCAAGTATTTCAGACACCCAGCTGTTCAGGCACATCTCTCTCTCTTTCCTATTTTTTCACATATTCATATAAAAATGTGTCCCCACTCCTTTTCTTCTTTTTGTGGAGAAGATAAATGAATTAAAAGAATTAAAACAATTAATATGTTTTGATTTTCACATATCTTAGTTTCCATCCAGCCGCCCCAGTACAAGTCTTTAGGGCGGATAGCCTAAAGGACAAAGCCTTTTTTCAATGAGGGAGAGGTGGTTGTGATTTAAAGTCACTCAGCTGTCAGTATTCAGCATTAGGTGCCTTATTAAAATGCACAGTTGAGAAATACATAAAGTTTACATTATTAAAGGAAATCATATTGAGTTATCAGAAAATTGGTGTCACATGTGCAAGTGTAAAGCAAAACAAGTTCTCCTGAGCATGGTGTGATTTCTTGTCATTATACAGACATCCAAAGTGAATTCAAAAATTCTACCATAGTTTTCACATGCTTCATGCAAGAGTACCTATCAGATGAGGTGAAGACTGAGGCCAAGCTGGCTGTGGCTTATCTAGTGTATCCTGCTACCAGAAATCATCCTAAGTACTGCCTCTGGGAAAGAGCAATTCATTTAAAACTGTAACGTGGAAGGATGCCTCCTATAGCTTGACAGTGGTGCTATGGACTCCATAGGTTTTGTCCTTCATTATCGTGATATATACTGTAGCTGAATATGGGTTTATCTTAATTTTTCTGGAGGTGATGCTACATTAGTGAGTTGTAAATAAATCTTTACAGATTGTTCTTTGAAAGAATGTACTTTGTAACAAAAGACTTGTAAAACTAAGCAGTAGAAAATATATTAATAAGAAGATTTCTAGAATTAAAAGATTGAAAGATATTTATTATTTGCTTATGGATTCTTCTAGCTCTGCCCATAAGCATCTCTCATAAGCAAGAAAGAGAAGCTGCTGTGCTGTGGTGGTGATCAAGAAAGCAGGTCAGGGTTCCAGAAATAGGCAGGTGGATGTTTAAATTTGCCCTGGGTCACTGTTCAATTCCATCTGAATTCTCCTTACAGGTGGCTTGCCAAGTGCTGTGCCAAGATGACATTTATCCAGGAACTGCCTAGATGGAAAGCTGCTTTAGACTGAGGAAGAGGGTCTTTGCTTTGATGAGGAAATTGCCAAAACTCATGTCTCATTAGTGTTTCCTAAGATTCTTTGGAAGTGAACAACAGTTTAATTAAAGGCTGGTGTAAACATGTTTCTGCACTTTCCCTGCAGCATTTTATCACATTAGAATTGATCAAAATTGTTGCCTTGGGCTGTCTTGAGCAACTATACATCTGGAGCACCATTTGTGCAAGCTGCTGATGAACAGGCTACATATGCTATGTTTCACAGCAGCTCTTCTGCCTTCCTATGTAGGCAGATTTACCTTGTTGGAAGATGAGATGTTCTAACCATCTTTATTTGCATAAGCCCCTTGTACTTTGATGCAATGCTTTAGAATGTATAACATGCTACTTGTTTGAGTGCCTGTGTGCTGTATCTCCAGAGTAATATGAGAGTACAAACAATAGTGATTTGGAACAGCACTGAGAATTTCACATTTGAAAAATATTCTCAGCAGGACAAGACACTGTGTCTGATTAATTTTGACCTTAAAATGACTTTGTCCAAGTGCTTTTGGCATCTTTCTGCTTTTCATTTGTATTTCAGATTTTTTTTTTCCAAAAGCGTGTTTTAGTTTCATTCTCAACGTAATGAGGATTGGAATCTCTTCCTGAAACTTAAAAACAAATAAATAATTTTTCAGCAGCATTGTTGAAGATATGAACTTTTTGGGATATTCAGGCACTCATCAGATGTAGTAGTCAGGATCAAAGTGGAGGGTGGGAATTGCAGGGGATGGTGGAGGGTCACAGGCAACGTCTACTCTGGGTCTTGTGCCAGTGTCTGTTTGTGTCTTGTGCTGCTGTCTGATTGACAGCGGGATGGGGCAAGTTAAAAAAGTGGACTCTCAGTTTCATGTGTCCTGCTCTAAGTTCAGTTCAGAAAACATTGGTCCAATTTGGTCTCAATAAGACATTCACATTTTTCAGGTCTGTCTTAGCAGAATAGAGTGTGCCAATATAAAAGGGTCCAAAATAATTAAAAAAATAACGTGGTCCATGTAGGAAAGTCTGCTGCAATGTGACCCCTGTCCAGTAAAGTGCTTAAGAAATTGTCCCTGCTTTGAACATGAGTTAGTCCATTGATTTGAAATTGAACCAATTACAATATTGATGTCTGTTCTATAAAAATATTGTAATTATACTTGAAATAATTTGGTGCAAGGTACAACAAATAATGATCAATTTATTTAAACTTTCAGAAAAAATCCAGTATTTTTGCCCTGGGGAACTTCAGTAAGCTTGGTAGAAATCATACATTTGTCCCTACTAGTGTGTTATTTTCATATAGTGAGCTCTAAAGAAATGTTTTTATTGATAAGGAAACTCGCCTAAGGAAGAAGTGACAAGACCATCCTTGAGACATGGAAAATATGAGACAAGTTAAAGTATCCCTTGTTCTTAGGGAGTTTTCATTGTTTCACTATGGTTTTGGGAAGAGTAATGGATAAGTTCTGAAGTAATAAAATAATAAATACCATAAACTGGCATATGCATGGCAATTACCCTACACACCTGAGTGTAGGCGTTCCATTAAAATATAATAAAAATTAAGTGGCTGTTGAAGGAACAGATGATTTGGTGATGTTCTGGGAGCTGAGAAGTGTCTAGGGAAGGTCTAAAAAACATAAAGTTCTTCACTATTTGACTCTTCTGGTATGAAAGAAATGTAGTTTCTGTTTTGCAGGACAAGGACCTGTTAGGACATTATTTTTAATTCTCAAATTTGAAAGCAGTAATTTGAAATTATTTTCTTCACCATAAGGGATTTGGATCATCATACAATATTTGTGCAAGAACAGCAAAAAGAAATATCTTCACTCTATAAAATGATGTGTCCTGAGGCAGGCCTCTAAGCTAATGTTACTGTTACATTGTTTTTTTATTGTAGATATGTCTTCTCCTACAATGAAGAAACCTGAAAAGCCTTTGTTTAGTCCTACTTCTCCCCAGGATTCGTCATCAAGACTGAGCACTTTTCCCCAGCATCACCACCCAGGAATCCCAGGAGTTGCACACAGTGGTGAGGATTATGAAGGAGGAAATAAAAACCTCCTGTTCATTTGCTCTGTTCTCCTTTCCTATAATCAGATTGTGATGCATTTTTGCAGACTTTCTTAGAGACCTAATCCAATTTATACTACTGGTGAAAATAAAAATGGAAAAGTTTGGGATATCCTTGCAGGAGTATTCATTTAGCCGTTCAGGTAATCTGGCTGCTGGAAGTAACTAAAAAGGATTTAGGATTAACTAGTGAATGTAATAAACTGTTCAATGCATGAAGAAACTGACAGAGGAAAAATCCTCCCTGTATTTCATCCTCTCACCTAAATCCCTTTTTTATTATTGCTGCTATCACTATGTTGTATTTAAATACCAGAATAGGCAGGATTTAATACACAAGAGAAGTCACAGCCATGTTATCTATGTGACACAATGAAATAAGTACCAAAGCTTTTTCAAATGCTGAGTCTAAAGAGTCCCAGTTAAGTATTTTCCAACACTTGTTTTCAGAAATCAATAGTAAATCCAAAGTAAAAATTCACTTGAAGTAAGGATGGGATAGGTGAAATGTGACAAAATGCATATGTTGTCTTGAGGGTTTATTAGTAATGGCAGGGAAATTCCAGCATTATGGTCTGTTTAATTTTATAGGTGAGACTGACTGGTTTTCAGTTGAGAACACAGTCCTCAGAAGTCCCTTCAACATCTCATCATGTTTCCTTGACATAAAACACATATAAAAGTTTTAATTTCTTGAGAAGAGCTGAGTGACTAGAGTAAAACAGATTTGAAAACTTTGGGGTTTTTTCTTTCTTATGCAGTTTTGCTTTGAGAAGTTTCTGTTTGAGTTTTCATCCATGATTTCAAGTGAATGCCTTTAAATTAATGTGTAAGGACTCTTTTCCCTTTAACGTCCCCTTATTTTTTATTACAAAGTGGTCCTGGACTCATTCTGGTTGCTCTGTGTTTTCCACTACTAGCAGATACTCAAGCATATAGAGATAATGGGTGAAATGGAAGGGAAAGATTTATCTTCATTTTTCTATTCTTTTTTGAATAGCTCTGACATGCCAGAGCAGTAATTAGTATTTTGTTTAAATGGAACTTGGTGGAGCTGTCAGTAAAATGAATGTGCTACAAAAAAACCCAAAACCAACCAAACAAAAAAAAACCCCTAAAAATCAAACAAACAAAAACCAAAACAACTTAAGAGTATATCTTTATATTTAATTTAGAGTATAGTTTTAAAATATAATTGAGTGACAATCATAATGTAAACTTTGTTAATGAATTATTTACTTGCTGGGAAACCCCATTTTAATCTTTGTAGACTGTTCTATTATGCTGATAAGCAATGCCCAGAAATATAGGAAGTCCTTTAAAAATTAAGCTGAAGAACCCAGAGATGTGAAATGTGGTCCAGTAGAGCAGTGTTGATATGTTTATGCTGATACAGTAGAGAACCATTAAACAGTGTAAAAATGACCTTGTTTTACAGACCTGATTTGGTATTTTTCCACCAATGAAAATGGAAACCCCTTGTCTCTTCTCCATTTCCATTGAACTAAGCACCTCTTGTTTTAATACACCAAGTATGTGCTCTCTAACTGTATAGTAAGGGTGGAAGGTGTGCTCTTGTGGAGTGTGATAGAAGAAAGCTCTACACTCCCAGACTGACAACTGGGCACCAGAAGGACAATCTGTACCTTCCTTCCTGCATTGTAAGAACATTGTCAGTTTAGACACTTCACATAGTCTTTAGGTAGAAAACTGTGTGTTTGTAAGGGCTGGAAAGAAAGAGAATGAAAATAACAAAAATGGGTAGGCTAGATAATTTTTTTATTAGTCAAAGATAATTTTAGTGGGTGGATTGGTTTTTCAGGCCCTGAAGTTGAATGTTCATTAACATTTTCATAAAGGTCAGCAAATATTTGTGGCAATATTAATGAGTAGATGTTGCTCTGTCCCCATATGAGGCAGGTAGATTGCAATGCCATGAGGAATCCTTGTTTCTTGGGGCTTGGTGATTTTCCTCAGTGTTGAAGTGCTGTAAATAAAAGTGGGGGCTTTATTTAGTATTTGATTTGATTTGTTTGGGCTCCACATGGGAAAAATTCTGTAACTGGAATATCTTTTATGTTGGAGAATGACTTCTGTTTAAAAAAAAAAAAAAAAGAAAAAAAGGAAAAAACTATGATGGCATAACCCACAAAACCAAAGCTGCACTATTTATGAATTTGAAACCGTTGCACTTTTCATTTCCTGGGATAATGTGAGGGCAGTACCTTTAAGATTTTCAGTAAAAATGCAGAGTGAAATACATTGATTTATAACTGACTTTTTATTTTCTTTGCTGTAACACAGAGGTGAAGAATTTTAGAAGAAACAAGATGCGAAGTAATTTTAATCTTATTTTATCTTCTCCAGTCATCTCAACTAGAACTCCACCTCCACCTTCACCATTGCCATTTCCAGCACAAGCTATTCTCCCTCCTGCCCCATCTAGCTACTTCTCTCATCCAACGATCAGATATCCTCCCCACCTGAACCCTCAGGATACTCTGAAGAACTATGTACCTTCTTACGACCCGTCCAGCCCGCAGACTAGCCAGGTACTGTAAAATTATGTGAACCCTCCAAAACAAATCCTGTGAGGAATATGTGCCTTCTAAGGCATCTAGACTGGTGCCTTGCCAATTCTGGTCTTAAAGAAATCTGGAGCTGCTATATAAATGATACAATCCTGTTCATTGTGATTGAATAAAGGGTGCTGGTTAATCATATTTACTTGCTTTTCCTCTGCCAAGTGTAAGAAAAATACTTTACTGAAAGCCCTGGCCGCAGCAACAGGGCAGGTCCTGGTCCTGCACCCCTCCTGCAGGTTGAGCCACCAGAGGCAAATCTCCCGCTGCCAGGAGTGTGTCGATACACACGCATGTCCAAGTATGAGCATGGACATACAGGTATATTTATAGCCTGCTGATGAAAATAAACTCTTGCAAGTTAGTACTTGCCCTGTTCAATAGGCACTGATATTTCTTTGAATAGTGAGCAAAACACAGACGTACAAATTCTTTTTTCTTCCTTTTGTAGAGAACAGGCCATAGCAGATGCGTTCCTGGCAACTGCATGGGTTCAAAGTTGTATCTGATATTGGAAATCAAAATGTTCTTCATTAGTGAAGTAATTTGTGAAGGACTGTGTGCAAAACTGCTTTCCCAGCCAATGTGATCTGCACTACAGGATAAACTGCAGTTGAGACTTGGTTTGTCAGTAACAAGAATATGTCCAATGTCAGTGTAATGTAATCTTTGCTGCTCAGGCTGTTATTTTTTTGATGCCTTTTCTGAAAGGCTCTTGTGGAGCCCTGTTGCTTTTTCTTTAGCATGTTTTTTGGAAGAGCCTTGGGTATGTAAACTGAAGAGGCAGGTTTTCCTTCTCCTAAGAGTTAGGTTCCTTTGGAAGGCCTTTCTTTACAGGGATGAAGGGGTTGCTATGACAGTATTTTGCTTTGGGCTTAGATTGGTTTTTTTTCACCAATAATGACAGGCCTTGCAGCATTCATTTTGGTTACAGCAGCAATGGAACTTGAGACTGAATCAAAATTTCTCAGTTGAATAAGAGATTTTTACCCTTTGGACTGTGCAGAAGGTCATTGTGGCTATTGTCCCCATGGGCTATTTTCCTGGTTCAGTTGCATGACTTCCTATATGTTTAAGTAACAAAAAAAAAGGAAAAAAGGTGGGTCCATAAAATCAAAATTTACTTTGAAGAAAGAAATTCTGACTATGTGTGTTTTGTTTTTCACAGTATTACTGCAAATTAAACCAAAAACTGAGCACGGAGTATGTTGACTTCAGAATACAAATTATCTGCACATAGATTAAAATTCTTTCAATCCTGTATAGCATTTTTCTGAGACTCAGCTGGGAATGTTGCATGCAGGACCTGATTTTAATTTGTGTAAAATTTCCATGAATAACAAAGTCTAATTAAGACACCCATTAAAAGTCCTTAGCCTTAATTCAGTGCGGAAAATCTCAGAGTTCTGTTGGAATTTTTTTTTCAAACTGATGTCTTAATTAGGCACTATTAAGGGAAAAATTATGCAAATTAAATCAGGCCCTTACTGTTATGCATTTCTTTAATTATTCAGTGCTTGTTTTACTTACATTTTGATTTCTTATATATGTTAAAAGAGCAGATTAGGTGATAATCTCTCTGGATTGTTCCATGTCCTGCTTTGGATCATTACTGAAAAAAACAACATCTAAATGAAGTATATGGCTTTCTTTCAGTTGAGAAATGTGCTGTCTTACGATTTTAACATTGGAGAGTATATTCATTGAGCAGGTTTTATGCTTTCAACTTTCTTCCCACCTCTTTTCCCTTATCTCTGGTTGAAAAAATAGTCTTTTCACCTTAAAAGATTAAATTTTAGTCTGCTGATTTTTTCAGAGTAGCAAACCGAGAAGACTTCATATTTTTGTATATTCCATAGGGAATAACAGATTTAACTAGCCCAAATTTACAACTTTCATCACTTTTCATATCCTTTTTATTAGGGTAATTTTTTTCATTTCATTTAAGGTTTGTTTAGTTCCTGACAAGAGGAGCTAGGGCAAAGGACACAAAATATGCAGTTTCAGTAATCTGCATCATCTATTCACCATAATGTATTATAATTAATCACTATTATTAGTGGAATATTTTAAAAATTTAATTCTTTGAAGTTCTTCTCTGAGATTTGCTGTATGTTAAAGTAGTTGCATGCCTGGTCAAAATATCACTAAATAAAATAATTAATGTTTGGCTGTAAAAAAGTAAAACAGCAGGATTAATTTTTTGCTTAGGAAAAGAAGAAGCAACTGTCTGTGAAGTTTCAGTGACAAAAGGGAATTGTTGTGATACAATAGGATGCTTTGAGCCAAACCAGTTTTTATTTTCTAAATAAAACATGAATTTTTATTAAAATAAATTTAATTATTATAAAATTCAAAACTGCATCTGCAGGAATACCACATCAAATTTAATTATGCTTTCCCACCTCAAAACACTCATTTGTATTTCAAAAGGAGTAATATGATGATAGTTTTAATTTAGCTGTAGAAATAGAAAGGATGGATACTCTGACAGCATTTACCAAAAATGAACTGTTCCTCCTGAATATCTTTCAGTAATACGCTAATTTAGATTGTTACGACAAGCAACTGAGATGCCTTGTACTCCCCACAGCAATTTTGAGATTAATTACATTACTGCTGCACTGATTATAGGGAGACAGTCATGCTATTCAGTGGAATACTTTAAGTAAAATTAGTTCAAGGATATAGAGATTTCATAGGTTCCCATTGGGAAGCACTGAGCAATTTTCTTGACATAATGTTAAATAGTCCAAATTATGTGTGATGAACAGTCAGGAAGTTCAAACAGGCCCTTTGGCTGCAGTGAAAAATGGTTCAACAATGGATGATCCTAAACAAAAGGGAGCTGCTGGTGCCGGTTTCATGAATATCTGCATTTTATCCCCTGCTTAATATGGAGAATAAACAAACAAATGTACTGAACAGAAAGAGATCTTGTTAGATATAGAGCTGGACTTGTCTCAAGCTAGTAGTCTGGTAAATTCCCAGAGTTTTGAGAAGTGTTGTACTTTCCACTGATTTAGAATTTTTGCTAAGCCCTTTTTAGTATATTTATTGCAATGCTTTTCTTCTTGGCTAGGTACTCATGTTACTGGTTAAGATTGTATGTGTGAGAATTGATCTGTATTATGATGGGGTGCAAGTGTCCCTGACTGATACTGATTATTCAATGCAAGTTTCATCAAAAACTAATTGATTGATATGTGTCTAATCCTCCTATGGTGTTTATCCATGTAGAGTGTATTGAGGTTTTCAAAGTTACCACAAATTTCCAGCATGTATTTCCTTTCTGAATGATTCCAGATGGGTGAATCTTTTAATCTTAGAAAATATTACCTCCTCTGTATCTGTGTACACAAGTAGAGACACACACATGCTCTAATCTGCACACACATGAAATTCATTATTACTCAGGAGTGTACGAATCATATACAGTATCAAAATAAGATTTCCAACGAGCCTGAACAAGTAGTCAAACACAATATCATTTGTGTGGCTGAAATCAAAACCAAATCCTCCAAACATAATTCACAGTTGAGTTAAATGGAATAATTTCCTTATGAAGGCGTGGTGAATCAAAGAAAAAGGATCAGCAAGTGTGATAAAGGAAATGTAGTAAAGCAAACAGCTGAAGTGAACATCCTAGTATCAGTAAGAATTATCTTTTTTTCTGACTGAACCAAGTAAACAGAAACAGACAATCTTCCAAACTTTTTGAGTATGTTATTATGAAGGGCACAGTTTACCTGTAACCTTAGCTTGAATGTTGTGATATTTATGATGAAATATGAAGATTTAGTGATATGGTAAAACTACCTGAACTTGATGGGTTAAGTATTGGACTATTTTGTTCTTACAAGAAATGGCTTACATGTGTTATGTACTACAGGCTGAGTGAACTGCTGCATATTTGCAGCACATATGACCGCATATTTGGCTAAAATTCCCGTGTCTGATAAAACATACTTTATTGCAGAGTGGATTACTTTGCAGCTTTATCTTTTAATTGGTTTGATCTTTGTCTGAAGACACAAATATCTGAAGTGCTTGAGAATAATTGTTTCTGGAAGCTGATGAGGCCTGTATTTATTATTTTCCTCCCGTAATTGATTGGGATATTGAACCTTTTGTTCAATGAAAGGCACATTCTTCAGTGATGGCAGGCAGATGCTTTGTCTTACATTCTTCAATATAATAATTACAGTCATTTGGTGTTGATGAGGGGATCTTGTGAGGCTCTCTTTGGGCTGGTCAAAGTGTTTCCTGTTGCTTCTTGGGAGAGTACTAGGAGAATAAGCCAAAACATGCAAAATTGTGTGCATGTGATTTCTTTGGTATAGCTAGGACCTCTTTTATTTGTTGATGTTTAATTATTTTCAGCTTCTTGGGCAAGTCTTTCCTTGTAATTTTTAAGAAATTATTGAAGATTAAATAACAATGTGCAATTCTTAATTGTGATTGGGAGGTAAAGATTGAGTCCTAGCTTAACACTATCTACTGACAAGCTGTTTTAAGATTTAATTACAGTGATAAACGATTATTTTGTATTTAATCTGCTCTAAATGCATAAGTATAAATCTTCAGAGTGCATGAAATGCTAGGTGACATAAAGATATCTTTTGAACATTTATCTACAAAGAGAATTCTTTTCCCATGCTCCTGTCACACAAAATTATCCAGGTAAAATTTATCACAGGTAAAATTGTGATTCAGGGTGTAGGACTCCAGACTGTCTTATGAGATCCATGTCTCATTAACAAGCCCGGGATTATTGGGGGACCTTTGTTCAATAAGCAACCTCAAAGCTAGTCAGCAAAGCCTTGGTCTTCAGGAGCAGCATATGACTTTACCACCAAGTTCCGGGAACATGGATTGTTGAAAATCTGCAGTTGCTCTCAGTTTCAGCAGCATTACATCAACATGAAAATTTATACATCAGTTCACCAAATGAATGAGACTTGGGCCTT